TGGAGCAGCGGGTGAAACCGGGCGAGAGTAGCTAGCCATTGATAAAGAAGCGACGATTATGACTGAAGACGATATTAATGCGAACAAACCCGAGAGTAAAGGCTAGTGGTTCTTACATAAGTTGCGTGATACGTTTCCTATTACGCGGTACTGCGGTCTCAGCAAGGACACTCGGCATCATTGCGGTGAAGAGATCCGTTAAATTGATACCTACGGTGATATTACTTATTTGTTTGAGTATGTTATACCTATATTTACTTTGTGTGAGTAATATTATGTTAGTCATAGGTACGGTTACATCGTATAACTTAATGTTTACCAGAAATGATTCAGAGATTTTAGCTAACTTATATTTCCCGTTTTCTTTTCTTTTTTGGCAGATAATTAAGATTGGATTTTTTCTGTCGGAGTTTCGGGTCAAGCGCCATGTATCGGAACCCCTTCCTGAAGGAGGAGAAACGAGGCGGTTTTTTGTCAGTAAGAGTCTTGAGCTATCTGGAAGTCATTTGATCATTACCCCCCTTAAATAAAAAGCCTATTTTTCACAGTAGTCATTTTCTGTTCAAATTCAATATTTTTTTCGACTTAAACATCGAAGCTCTTCGTACCTTCAATTCCAAACAAATGTCTTCTACTTACATTATAAACTAACTCAATAAATATCAGTCTGACAGGTCAAGTAGTTATCCAAGTTTAATGTTAAGATATTCAACCTTTGCCTCTTCAAAGGTAGAGAGAGATAAATAATTAAGTTGTTGCTGAAGACACAGAAACTTCCAGAATTATTTAACTATTTAAGAGCGAAGGCAAAGATCATTGTTTGTAAATTCTCTTCCATTTGAATTGGATAAGAAAGCCAGAGAGCCACCTAATTTTCAACCAGGGTTGAACGTGCCAGCGCGATGATGGCCTTTTAAAAAGGACTCTTTTTTGAAAGGTTATCTTGGATGGTTCACGAGATTCTCAACTCAGCCTATTGTGACCTGGTAGAGTTACGTCGGCACCAAGTTGGGCAACCTTCAGTCACTCAACTTCGACTTGAGTAATGTTCTAAAAGATTATTTTACCTATTGCCTGACATCATCGAACTGCACGTGGATAATGCTTATATTCGACCTTCCAACGGCCTTCACTTAAACACAAAGCCTTCAAAAATGACTTCACCCGAAGATCAGAATGACACTATCAATGACATTAGACCACTGACATTTACAACATATCAGGGAGTTTATCTCAATTAGATATTATCTTTAATCTCCTAATTGAAGAGATTCAGATATTACAAAACTATGGAAAGATAACGATAAAAATTAGAGTATAAGATTACAGTTTTTATTAATAGTTTTGGCGTGAGATCTTTATCTAAAATAAAATGGCTACTTATCGCATATGCAATCTGTAAACAAGCCATCTATCTGCGATCCAGTTTTAGATATAAAAACAAAGATATAAAAAGATGGATGGGTTATGTAAGAAGTCGAAAGAAGGAATATAATATATGTTTAACTTGTTGATTTTTTATAAATGGAGAAATAATATAGGAAAACTATTGTTAAGGTAACTTGAGATAAGAGAAGAAAATTAAGGAGATGATTATAAAGAAGATACACTTTTTATATCAATTTCAACTTCTAGTACATAAAACAATATCTACTAATAGAATATTTCAGGTGTGATTTTTTTTATGTAATAGATCGGCAAACGAGCAGACGCATTACCTGATGGTAAGCAATCAGCGCCGGCCATGGACACCCGCAACGGAGGAGTTACGAGTGCGTTGCCGACCTTTTTTGGATTAGGGATTAGGAATTTGCCGTCCTGCATTCCCAATCCCCGAGTTCCCAAAATCCCTTATCCCCAAAAGCAAAGCATAGCGGCAACACCCTTGCAACCCCTTTGGTATGGCTGGTGATGCACACCAGCCATACCGATTGCTTACTATCCGAGTTCTCGCTTGCCGTCTTATCACGTAAAAAAACTAACTTAATCCTACACAGACAGGCATCCCTAAAATTTCACTAGATAAATCCTACATCGTATAAGAGACTAAGGACCTCTATTCGTCCTTTATAAACAACATCTTGGGGACGAAACAAAATTAAGATTAACAACGCTGAGAGTTATGTATGACTCTCTGGTGAATTAAAAACCCTTCGTTCAACGTCCGTCGAAGTTTCTGGAAAATCCGTGTGAAAGTATCATATGCGTAATATTGTTTTAGTGAGAATAGCTAGTTTTAGGGTTTTGCCTTAATACTTTACCCGTTTAAAATACTACAGATTTTTGGAATGTGTGAAAATTGATCAGCCAAAGTATTATTGTTTGAAATAGCTTCATTCTCTTCAAGAAAATGTTTATCATAATGTATCTTAAGATTAATTATGCGTGGTTACCAAAAAACCTCTATAAGCGTCTTTATAGTAACGCAAGTTATGTAGTAGCTATTATTTTATGGGATTAGTTGGCAAACGAGCAGACGGACCACCTGATGGTAAGCAATCGGGGTAGCCAATGGACACGAGCCACACCCAGAATTTGGGAAGGATTCGTGCCGAAACTTGGCTCTCCCACGCACAGCATCCATTATATGCATTACTAGCTACTCTCGCGCGATTTCACCCGCTGCTCACCTCCATTTCATCGTAGCGTGATGTTTTATAGCCTATAGCACTCAGGAACATTGTAGCTATCTATCAGTGAAAGAATTTTGGCAATCTGACCAGCGGTTCCAAAGATTACCCCCTACATACTAACTTACAACATACATACTTACAAATTTTACCTCTTTATAATATTAGTATGGATTGCACTTAGCAATGTAACTTAATCTTAATCCCACAGTTTGAGACTAATACTTTCTGGTCTTACCTCTTTGCAGTACAAATTTATTTCTTTACTAAATAAAGCAAGGACATTCAACCACATGGAAGAAATGATTGAGAGATAAATAACAATTCATCTCTGAGAAAACAACTTGCAAGTGAAAGCGTTTCCTGTAAACAATAACTTTGTTTAATGACTCACGTTTTTCTAAGATTTCAGAGACAGATATTATATGCTTAGTCTCATTATAATGCAGTATCTAGACTTGTGATACTAAGTATAGTAGTCATAATAATTTGATAGAGTAAAGAACCGAAGCAGTAATTCTATAATTTCTTCCAGCCACGGTTGCGAGTACCACCGCTCATCTCAGAGCAGGAGAAGGCACGGGGTAGTTTTAATACAGTAGCACCCGGTTTCCGAAAGGCCGATCAATGTTAAAATCAATTTAATCTCTTGTCAAGTCATCTGATTGGTTGACTGAATTATCAACAACCAATCAGATGACTTGACAAGAGATTTAACAGGAGATTAGTTAATTTAAGCGTTGACAAGCCTTTCAGAAACCGGGCGTTAGTCTTTTGTTTTTGAGGGGGAAATCGTCTAGTTACTTTTCTCCTGGGAGGCAAAAGAGTGTTGGTCTCTTAGTTACTAATAAAAACCACCCCGTCCCCTCTCCTGCTAAAGGCCGGGGGTATCAGTTACGTACGAGGGAGTCGAGCGCTCCCTCTCAGCCTTCTCAAGAAGTCACAGTATATGTATCTATATCTCAACTTTTCAAGGGTAATTATTACCCAAAATAATTGTAAATAATATCCTCACAAACCAAAGGTTCATTGTTTGATAGAGTGCAAGGGTAAATCTATCCTTGAAGATGGAGATCTACATTTGGAACGAGCCCCTAGTTTCACTGACGAACAGACTGACAGACTTAATCTATTTTGACGTTTCAAAAGTACCTATTTATGGTTTAGTTGGAATAAATGATTTAGACTTTAACTTTGCATTAAAGAAACTTATGCACGAAGATTATGAAGCACCGATTAGAGACGTAGTTCAAATTGAAACCGAGGCAGAAATATATCTAAATAACAATGTAATAATAATATCGACAAAGATAAAATAAATCTGCGTGAACCCACACACGTCCAACAACAATAGATAGATAGTAACCACTTTCCCTATCAATTCGCGGAACACATTTATTCTAGTACATCGGTGACAATATTATCTGTGCTTAATAGAAATTGTTTGATTACATTACAAGGATCGGACGGCAGCACATTAAGATAATCTAATCTGACTAAATTGTGTAAATGATTTGGGACTTCATTGCTAAAATTGGAAAGTTGAAAATTGTATACTTACTTACACTAACATTCGAACTTGTAACAAAATGACAGAAAACACAGATGGCAATTGACTAAAATACTATTAGATATATACATATATATTTAAACATTTTTATACTTATTTACTGAACTAGAGGCGGTTAAAGTACCGACATAATTTAAAACCCTGAGTAAAATAAAATAGTTCTTAGTAACCATCTCCCAAAGTTAGCCCTTATAAGTAAACAGATAAATAATCAGATTCTAAATTTTTTTATTGATTGTTTATACAACTAATCGTTTATTATTTGAGAGAAATTAAAGAGAAAAATTAATTGACTCTTAATATTTCTGATACACATTTTCTCAACTGTTTAACGGATGTTATTGTACCTACCTTCCATATCTAAAACCAACCGCATCAAAATCCGTTGCGCAGTTTTAAAGATATATATCAGCATACAAAATAAAGCCGCATTCTCTGTTCCTGTATCCCAATACAGTGACATTATGTATGCGACATTATTTTATACTATGTAGTTATAGTGATGATTTTACATCAAATATAAATAGAAAGAGATTCCATCCCTTTATTTCATGGATGACGACCAAAACAGAAAAGGGAAAAAGGGAGGAGTGAAAACAAGGTTTTTTATCGGATATTCATTTTTTATGAGATGCGTTGGCTAACGAGCTGATGGTAAGCAATCAGCGCGACCGATTTGGCAAATTTATTTTGGTTTTGAATTATTCGTGGGAGTGCAGAGAAGGTTGCTTTAAGAAGTGTAAAATACACGCGGACGAAGCCGCGGGCGACCGCTAGTAGCATATAATATAGATCCTTACCACTAGTGACAGCCGGTGGTGCGGGGGCGGCGGTGGCAGTCTCGATGGCCGCCGAGACACAGCACATGTCTCCTTCTGCGGATATAAAGAACTACATTAGAAGAATAATATTATAAAGAGATAAAATTTGTAATTGTTAGGTTGTATGTAGGGAGCAATCTTTGGAACCACAGCTCAGATTTCCAAAATTCTTTCACTTAAAGATAGCTACTATGTTCCTGAGTGCGTTAGGCTATAAAATGATACTTGATTTGCGTATTTTAGTCGAAGTATCGCTTTAAACGCATTTTTTTAAACCCGAGAATAAAAATCTTTTATACGCGTGCGAAGCCGATTGCCGTCACGCCGGCGACGGTTTTCTGTAAAGCCGTGGTATCACTCCGGTCGAGCCGACCCATTCGTGCCGAAGCTTGGCTCTCCCACACTTCATGTACAGCAGTAAATAACAGTTCAATTCTAAATGAGTTCTTTGAACGCTTTATACTATAAGTACGTACTTTTAACGTAGCAATTACGTACAACGCCTACTATAAGAATTTAGAGTGAAGTGAAATTGTTCCAAGAACTGGAGAAATTGCGTTCTGAGAACTTTCTAGAACTATCAAGTGGATGGTTGGAAAATTTTTGCAATGTGGGCGTTGAAGTTCTGGCCAGTTCTTTTTTTTTAGATTGTGGGTGTTTTTCTTGGATTTGTAAAGTTTGTTAGGTTAATGAAGAATACGGCACTTTGAAGTTGTTGGGTGGGACGTTAAAATTTATTAACACTAGAATTTACTGGCTTGGGTATTTAGCCAGTCCTAAAGATTTAGGCAATAAAGATTCCTTGTTGAATTTATAGTTCCTTTGGATATTTCACTACGCTCTTTTTTTAACTTATACATAAATTAGAACAATGTCTATGTTAATGGAAAACTACTAAAATCAAATAGTTCTATATAAGTATTTCTATAAAAGAGGATCAAATTGTCCGTATCAGGGTAAATAGAAACAAAAGAATCATGCTAAGCATTAGATAGCTACCGACTGTAGATGATAGATATCATCATCTTCCTGCCCTTGTCCCGTTTTATTTGGGGTCGGCGCAATATGTTTTTTTCTTCCATTCTGTCCTGTCACCCGTCACGCTATCACTAACTCCTCTGTCTTCCATATAATTTCTCACACAACCCATCCATATTTTCTTTGGTCTCCCTCTCCCTCTCCATCCATCCGCATTTATACTCATGGCTTTATACTTTTTTCTGTAGATGATAGATAATGATACCAAAATCGATCCTAATTCACACACGACTATATGAAAAAAACTAAAAATAATTGAAAATAACCAAACGCATCGCCATACATATTAATTTTTGGAGTCAATACCAACTGCAAGCATCTTTTTTAAAAGTCGTTTAAAAAAAAAAAAACAAACCTCTTTAGCCTCCCACTATTAATAAATTAAGACAAGGTACCTACTTTAAACATCTGTCACATTGTGACCAGATGTCAATTAATAGTACCATAATAATAGTGGCTTAGAGCTAACAAGATCACAAGCAATGAGTCATAACACCCACTGTGAGGAACTTATATGGAGCTTACTTTTGTGGTGGACAACTTGTAAGACGTTAAGAAAGGTTGGAATCTAACTGGGCTTTTGAATATTGTTTTCTTTGTTATGAAGTATTTTGGTTCTTGTTGTATTTCTATTGGAGTGATAGTTCATATTATACCTATATTTCATTAAATGTAGGAGATCTATGCTTCGGCTTTGGCACGGATGGGCTGTGTCAAACTAAGAAATAACCTCGACCTCACAGAATATCGGCTTGAAACAATGCATGCAATGTCACTCTTAGAACATAACTTGTATAAGTGAGGATACAGGAGGCCCAATCCTTGCATCTTACCCCATCCTCAATCCCCAACACTCAAATGACCGGCAACGCACTTGCTTGTTGTTTGTCCGTGGCGGGATTTAGGGATTGGGGGAGGGTTAGATTGGGCCTCCGGTAAACTCAATGGCATGGCGAAACAAAACGCTGTGGTTGTTTTCAGTAAGGCAAGCGTGCCGAAGCTTGGCTCTTCCACACTTAATGTACTTATATAAATGTATACAAATAATAAGTACTTACGACGTGAACAGAGAGTGTAGGTGCTGACTTCCCGAGAGCGGACCTGCGCATACGCACAAGGTTCGACTGTCGAGAAGTTTTGGTCGCATCTGTAACAAGAGAAACAAAATTAACAAAATATAAACATTCATCATCATCAGCCTAGTTCAGTGATAGACACAGATCTCTCGAGCTAGATGTCCAAATAAAAAAAAATGAGTTTAGAAAACTTTAAAAAAATAAGCATCGTTTTAAAATTATATTAAATTAATATTTTTCGTAAAGAAGTCTGTCAACGAGTTTAGAGACGTGATTTTATTATCATCGCAAATTTTCACATTCAAACCCGAAAAAGATCCTGATTTTTTACATTGTATGCGTCACAAAAATAGGTTTGCTAACTCCTCATCTGGCTTTTTGTCCATTTTACTTGACAACTTCGTACGTAAAACACGTTTTAGTTTATTTTGTGGTCAGCTCGAATTTGGCTGCACTCTGCCTGTAGCGACCTTGTTTGCAACTTGCAACATAATCCGTTTAGGTAGCTGTTTTTACGTAAAAGCAAAAACAGCTTTCTGGACGTTGAATTTGTTATTCGAATTTTAAATAATATTATTATACAGATCGGCTACTTCGTAGTTGCAGAGTTTTTTAACCTATTCAGCCAGTGCAGCAAATGAGAAAAAAAAACAAAACAAAAATTTGTAGAAAAAAAAATCTTAATTTTTTAAATTTACTTTTCTTGACAAAGTAATTCCAATATTAGCTTACATTGACGTAACTTTTAAAGAGCTAAGTAAATAAGGAAAATTGTTTATCTACAAAAAAACTATCTAAGTAACCATTTGTTTACTTAAACATGTTTAACGTTTCGCTTATACAATATTAATTGAATATTTGTAGGTTTATGGTGACAAAAGTGCATGGAGAGTTTAATGTCGACAATTGACTGACAGGTTTTGTATAACGCTACCATTGACCACTAGATGGCGCTGCTTATAAATAAAAATTACCCTACAAAGCTTGAAAACTTTACACTGCAGAGACACACAATAGTGTTTTAACGGTTAAAATAATAAATAAGTAACAATAAAATATTGATTGTTGACGTGTTGATTATAACCTCTAGTTGTCTGTTCTCGCTATTTTAGCTGTTGTAGCTACATTAATTCGGCATAAATTCATCACTTCCCAAGCGAACGTCGCTAGTCTCGAATTACCAAGATGGAATGGTAAAGTCCGCCATTGTGCAGCAATTGTGCAAAAAGTATTAAATAAATATTATTTTTCTTTTAGAATAAATAGACCTAACTTTAATTAAACCGAACATATCCAGTTGGTATAAGAAGTAAGTTTGAGAGTAGACAAAACAATCAACGAACTTGTTTACTTGCTGTTATCTTGAACACCAGTATATCAATGAATCACCGTTTTGAGTGTATGTCTAGACGGCCAGTAATAGGATGGCTTTATCCGTTTAGAATTCATTAATGCACTCATTATGAGCCAATTACTGAGAAGACTTGGTAAAGGGCTATCTCACTTTCAGTTAAAAACGAGGTAGGCACGAATGGGTGCCTGGTAAATGTCATCAGATGAATTTTTCCCGCCCTAGGTAGGGTAACAGAAAGAGTCAGACTCTTACTGACGAAAAACTACCCTTCCTTCAGTGCCGAGCCAAGGCCAAATTTAATTATCAATTTTATGCTTAATCAAGTGTTAATAAATTTTCACGTATTATAGTAAAGACACAATGCACTTAAGCCATTGAAACAAATATTTTAATTTTTTCTTTAAAAGCTGGTCAGTTTGTCATTGCTATCGCCTTACACTGGGCGACAGAAACCATTTAATCATCTTTTTCACTCAAAAAAAAAACCAACCCTGTCCTGATAATTCAAAAGTAAAGAGTAAAATGACTATGTTTATGTAGGTATCATTTTCTTATGTCCCTGATTCTCATACAGTCTATATTAGAATAACGAGTATGGTCTAAAAAGACTTCTATTTCTACCTTACCTCCATTTCATTTCCAACCCTAGCCTAGCCAAATTTAATTGTCTGCCCCGCCCCCCTGAGTCGTAAAGGGATAAAATATTGCAGTGTTATTTACTCAAACGTCCAATTCTAGTAATGAATGACAAATAGGTACATTCTTGCCAAAATAGAATTGGCTTTTATGTATATGAATAATGTCGTAAACTTGTATGGATGGATGTACAATTGTACCTACATATAGATAATTTAAAAGGTGGAATTTGTAATTATTTTATTTAGTGTTCTCATGTTTAGCTCTAGAGTCTAGACATAGCTTGGCCTCACAGAAAACCAGCGCAACGTGATAAAACGCTTTTTAGAAGAGAAAATCATCATATATTTATGATCTGTCGCCCTGAATGGAGCGAGAGGGATTGTTAGACTCTTACTAACTAAAATCCAGAGGCCCAATCCTTCCAGTACAGTAAAATCTCTTTATTCGCGGATCTAAAAAACGCGAATGAAGCAAGCGCGAATAGGGAGCTTTTAGTGTATTGATTTACTACAACAAAACTACGAAATAAATGACAAGCTACATTAAAAAAACAAATGATTTAACCTTTTTTAGCCCAGGGTAAGGTGAGAGAGAGTGTCAGAATCTACCTGAGTAAAAACTCCCCCGTTCCTTCTCCTGCTCTGGGCCGAGGCCGCGGTGCCTCATTGCGCTTACCCCGCAACCCCGGCTGAACATCAGCCCCATTGGGATTTACCCTGGAAATTTAAACACTCTTTTTTGAAACTCTATGGAGTTTTTTTAAATTTATTTCAAAAACCGAACTTTTTCCACAGATTTCCGAATCGAGTTTATAATTTCGGCAGTACCAAAAGTGTTTGAACCATCCCTACAAGTTTAGTATTCTGTCTATATCTTCACTAAACTACAAGCTTGAAGTTAAATACCTACAGAACATGCTAAATTGGAATTACTTCAGCGTCGAGAATTCCCTGAACACTGAATTAAAGCCAAGCGCTTCTGGCTAGGAATATTTATAGCGTAATTAGCTAGGTCTCGGCTAAACACTACGCGTTGAGGTAAGGCCTAGAAAACTTAATACAAAATGGAAGGCAGTTTACTGAACTTTAGCTAGATTTAGAATATTATTAGTGGCGAAAATTGGAGGCATTGGGTATGAAATAGCACATATTATATTCCCTAATTATGAGTGCAACGTCTTAAGGGTGATTTATTAGGTATGTATTTAAATCGTAGTAATATTATAAACGCGAAACTTTGTAAATATGGAAAAAATACTGAATGAAATTCGACACGGAGATTAATAACAAAGTCTGGAATAATTTAATACTTCAAAACCGATTAATGGCATCATGATGTTAAATAACTTTAGGTATTTGATTGTAAAATATCTTTTAGCAATTAAATACATATAAATAGGTACCTAGTCAGTCAGAAAGAAGACTAATACGTTCTCATAGTACTCAATCTCAGATCAAAGGTACCAGGCAACCAGAAAGTGGTAAGGAGTTAGTTCATTAACATGAATTCAAGGCGCGGCAGGGGTGTGTCTACAGTAGATATGAAACATTGTGATAATAATAATTATAAAAGCAAAATCCGTGACAATACTTCAACAGTTATCTGCACTATAAATAGTGATAACGCCAGCTTTGTCTCGATTAAATCCGGTTGAATTGTTTACGTTTTGAATTAAATGTAATTGTAATTATAATATTCACGATTTGCGTGAATTTGAGTTCAAAGCTTTAGAATGATTTATTTGTCATATTTACAGGGCAATAGACATTTATTTGTAACAACAAATAGCGACAAAATGAGACACATTCTATTTTCTACAAAGAATAAGTTTCTGGGTACGGTAAAAGGGGATGAATGGAATTCGAGGGGTGAATAGATACTAGGAAAATTTGTCAACATCTATTCACCCCGTTTTACCTTACAACTATTTAGGGAGGAGGCGGCGTCCGCCTCTGTTGGCGGTGCCAATGGCTAGGACAAAATTACAGACAAAAGCTGCATTCGCGCTAGCTATCCGACATATTTCGGTAAATGTTGTAGGTACAGTTATATAATAATTTGTGTTATAGAGATAGATAAATGATTCAAGTAATATATATTTAATTAGTGTAATGTAAGAACTAGGATATCTTATTTAAGTATTATGTGTTTTTTTTTTTAATTAGTTTTCATTCATTTATAATGCAATCTGATGTATGGTTTATCTAGATATGTATGTATTTATAAGTAAATTGCCCTGTTATCGCTTTGAGTCTAACCTAATAACCTGTAATGATAATAGAGAAAGATTGTAATAAATAAATAAATGTTTAATTTTCTACTTTTTTAATTTAGCTACTTTCGAGCGGTTACATACGCTGCTCGGCTGCTATTGATCGTAGGCTATAAGCCTACAGTCTTTCTCGATGAATGAACTATCAAATACAAAATAGTAACAACAAATAATATTATAATTTGCAATCTACTGATCTGGAGGTTTAGCAGTCATTGTCTTAAAGGTAACCTGATGATGATGAAATAAAGAACAGATAACAAAAGAAATAAGTAGTAATGTCTGGTTTTGATAACCGACTTAACATTGACAACAGGATGACCAGTAAAAAATATTCCATTTTTTAATTTAAATCGAATATCGGTCAGTGGAAAATACCTAAAACCGATCGAAGCGGCATCTCAAGCCATTTAAAAAGGCAACAGATACCAGAAAGCACTTCATTTCTACCATTTACTATCAAAGCACTTTAGACTGAGATCACCCGATTTGGCGATGTTTGGTCAAACGTTGGATCAGATACGCCAACACGATTACACGACACAATGATCAAGAGCCGATGACTTACTTAGATATTTCGTAAAGTTGATATTATAAAGCTTTAGATATATTTATTATAGAAAAATGGAGTATGTTGCAAATGTTGATAAAGTTATTTTCGACCAAAGATCGTTTGAAATAAGATTTAAATTGCTATGCAGGAGAAGATACCATAATAGAGTCTTGATATTTTTACCCGACTGCCAAAGAAGGAGGGTAATGTTTTTCGAGTGTATGTAAGTATGTATGTATGTCTGTTCCTTTGT